GATGGAGCCAGAAGGAGACCTGAGGGAGGCACATGGAACAGAGAGACGTGAAGAAACTCTGCTTGCTGCCTCTTGGCCCTGGACTGGGTGACACATGGGAATGAGAGACTCGTGGGGATGTTCACTTTGGCAGCATTTATCTCACAGGTTTTGATTTTGGTCTCTTCCTCCCACATGTGTCTGGCCATGTCTGACCCTTTTCTGGGTCCTTGCTGTAAGGTGCATCAGAATTGTGGTCGGCTTTCTGGCCTTGCTTTGAGCCAGTACCTTTTGGGTGAACTTTTATCCCTGAGGGGATGGGTAATTTTGGGTGCTTGATTTAGAAGCTGTATTCCTTATATTTTCTGTGTTGTTCACTAATTAAAGTTTCTTTCCATTAAAGGTCTTCCATGCTTTATCTTAATAATGGTGGATGGCAGATCCTATTTAGAGTGGGCAGGTTTGGGAGTCTTGGGGTGCCCCTCTCCCTGCCTGGTAAATCTGTGGGCTGTTGGCCTAGCCATGGTAGCCCCTCAAAGCTGGGATTTAGGCTACCTAACACTGTCAACACACCTGTTCCAAATGCCTTGTAGCATGAAGCTGCTTGCCAGCATCCTGACCCTTAGAATCCTGGGAGAGGAGGGCTGGGACTGGCAACAGGGACCTCTCCCTGTGCTGTTTGTAACATTTGCTCACACCTCTCCATACTTTTTCATTTGGCCACATAAATCATCCCTCTACAGCCTGATAATAACCAAGAGAGGGAGTCATTCCGGCCCTTGTCAGCATCCTGATCCTCACCCCCTCCTGTAGGTGAGCAGTTATCCTCTGAAACCCGAGTAATGTACTGTCAGTGCTTGTACCCAGCCTGGCAGTAGGGCCACAGAGAACAAGAGCTTGACCGTCTCCTACTCCCCGGGCATCCTTTGGTCTCCCTGCAGTTGCCTGTGCCCAGCTCTTAGGTATAACCAGTGCTGCATTTGGGCTCTCAGCCACCCCAGTGTGGCTCTTGCCTCAGACTGCTGGGTCTGCAGAAGGCCAGGTCCTGTCCAGTGTGAGGGAATCACACACACATGACCCAGTGGCGTGGGCCAAACATCTCATCGTCTGACAAAGTCCGGGTCTGAGGGGGAGCCCCTGAAAAGTCAGGGACCCCAAAGATGGCTCCTCCTGGATCTCTTTGTTTGTTTTGGCCACTCCTGTATTTGCAACCATTTTTACAGTTGATAAAATGATTTTACATTTGGCTGTTATAATCAAAGTAATTGGCTATTACTGTAAAGTTAATATAGCAAAATAAGACAGGGGTAGTAACATATTGTGATAACATATTCTTGTCCGAACCAATAATTCAGACTCCCTCATTTCACTATCTTCCAGATGTGTACACTAAATTAAGCTCCGGAGGAAAAAACTTGGGGAACCAAAAAGCTTAAGCCTTTGTTGTTTGGCCTTCAGTTCTACTTATCTCTCTTAATGTTAAAACTGAGTACAATAAACGTTTTCGTTCTTGACCCTGGCCTTGTTTTAATCTTTTCTAGAGTAATAGAAGCTTTCCTTTTGTTTTTTTGCTAACTTAGTTATTATAATATTATTATAATACAAATAGAAATGTTAGTTATAACGATATGAATTCATCTGCCTGCTTTATCGTTAGTAAATTGTTTGCCCAGCTACAAAAAAATAATAATCATAATAACATTTTGCCTGTTAGCAGTCTTTTCCTTTAAAAAATGAGACGTGTTACAGACTTGGCTAAAGATCAGAAGACTTCAAACTGTTCTTAGGAATATGTGATAGTTATTTTTTTTATTCAGTGCATGTGCTGATGTGATCCCTCTGCTTGCTAACAAAAAATAAAAAAGAGCTGCTGAGTTTGTCAGCAGATGACACACCTGAACAAGTGTTGGGTCCCTCATTCACCGTCACCAACGCCGTCATTTCCTACAGGAACCTCTGCTCACCCCAACTATTGGAGCTGGTCTCCAGCAACCCAGGCTTTTCCCCTCCAAAGATAGCACTTAACTTCTCGAGCCTTAACCTGGATGATATGGTGTCTCTGTGGGGAAATGCCACAAAGCTGTGGTTCATATCTCTAAAATCTGTGCCACCAGTGGAACTTACCTGGCCTGTGGGCAGGGAGTGTATAGATGTGTTATTCCATGCAGCCAGTTACGTCTTTTGTTAAATCTGATGCCTGACCTGTCTGAACTGGGGGAGAGATTCTTTTAATGATAAGATCCCCTCACAGCAAAAGGAGAGTTCCCAAGCCATCCCACACAGCAGGTTTGCAGAGTGCACATTCGTTATAAAGGGCTGGGTGGCTGGCCTACGTGATTTTTTAAGATTTATTTAGTGATTCATACAGAACTGGGGTACAGGCCAGAGATGTGGAAGGGGAGAGGATTCACCAGAGACAGAGTGGGGAGCAGAACAGGCAGATCGACGAAGTACACTGCTGAGGGAAGCAGCGGGCGGGTCAGGAGAGGTCTGCCACGCCATGTGGGTCACCTCCGGGGCAGGCGGGGATCGAACTCATGCGGAAGTGGCTTCAGATTCTCAGTGCTGTGCTTTAACCCGCTGCGCCACCAGGGAGGGCCCCTACGTGATATTTTAATACTCTTGTTAGATCAGCGCAAGCCCTCCAGTGCCAACTGGACTCCTTGGTGACTGGTGCTCCAAACCAGCAGAGCCTGGATCTCGCTGTGGCCCACAGGTGTGTTGCCTGTATTTATAAGAACAATGTTGATTCTATGCAGACAAGTTTGGGGTGATTTGAAAACACCCACACAACCACGGATCAGACAGATCACACACACAGAAGAAAAGGCTCCATATAAGCCAGATTCCTCCGTCAGAGTTCCTATGATATCCCGTAATGACCAATAAGTAATAAGCATGTTTTCCTTAAAAAAAAAAAAATTAGGTGATGCCATGTAAGAAAAATAATGCACAAAGGCATCAAGAGGAGATTGATAAGGAAAAGTATTAGTGAGAAAATAAATATAATAGACCCTACCCTGTGGGTGCTTTCAGGCCTGGTGCAACAAAACATTTCAATGCAGAAGCATAATAAGTTTGCTCACTTTCAGATTCTCCCCACATAAGGTTTAAGTCTGGGTCTCAGCACGTTTATCTCCACAAAGGTGGTATTTCAGAAGGCCACTGGCCAAGCTGTTCTGTCCACATGGGCGTCCTCCAGGCCACTGGATCTCCCTCTCACTTCCTGTGTGAAGCTTGGCATCAAACAGTACTTGCCTGCTGTGAAGCTGTCTGTCAATGTGGCAAATGTAAAGAGGTTACGTGTAGGCATAAAACTCACTCTTCGTCTTCACATGGTGCTCAGGCTGTGGTTACTTCCCAGCTCTGGGTCCGCATGCCTGTGTACCAAGTACAGCTTTTCCTGATCTCACCTTCCTAAGTACCACTTGTCTTTTCTATGTCAGGGGTAAATCCAGTGTCCACTACACAATGAGGCCTTGACCACACTGACCAACTGCTGAAATCACCATGAGTGGGGGCCAAAGAGCAGGGCCTTCAGACTAGTGGCTTTGTGGGGACCTGGATGGGTGAAGGTAGTTTATGAGATGCATCTCCAAGATGTGAGGTCGGGGAGATGAATACTGGGTGTGTAGAGGGCCACAGGCTCCCAGGTGTCCTCCCCGAAACCAGAGTATCCACCCTGCAGACTCAGAGCCAGGGTCCCTGTCCCTCACCCCACAAGGCTCCCAGTGCCTATGGCAGCCCGTCCTCCCCCCAGTCTGCCTAAACCCAGGCCCTCCTGTCTTGTCCCTGCCCAGGCTCTAACCTAATGGTCTGTTTTTAAATATCTTCTTCCTGCAGGAAAAAGTGCCCAGATTTGAAAAAAAAGTTCAAAAAGGAAGATGAGAGGAAGGATGGGAAGATCAGCTTCCCAGAGATCCGTCCATGGGGCTGCAGTCTACGCAAATTTACAGTCACGTCATGGTCAGAAGCTGGATGAGGGCAGGGGCATCTGCTGATGCCATGGCTCAGCAGCCTCAGCAGCCCCAGCGCCAGTGAGCCGCCCGACACTGCTGGCTGGTTTCTCCATGGCCACATATGTTGGCCCAGTGTTTGCATTTCTACTTTTATAGGTTTACACAGAAAGTTTGGTGGCTACCTTTGAATTTTAGACACAGTGAAAACTAGACTAGATCTAGTCAGTCTCTCTACTCTTGATGAATGTAAAGAACTGACTTTGAATTCAGATTCCACATCTAGCCTATAAGCTAACATTTCTCCAGCCTTTACGTAAGTTCTAACATTTTTCTGATCGCTCCTAAGTACAAATGATTATATTTTTTATTTACACACCAAGTTGGCTAGCTAACCCCTATTTGCTATTTACATTATCTGGCCATTCTTCTAAAGTAGTATTTTTCTTTATTTGTTTTTGAAGTTTCTTTAGTGAGGGTCTGGTGAGGTGAAGCCACTACAATGTTAATGTCTTGAAACGTTTTTAATTTACCCGCTTTTCATTGATTATGAAAAATCCAATTACATGATAATCCCAGGGAGCCAGCACCTACTTCCTGACCCTGGATAGGTGGCCAGTCTGTTCCATTTCTTGCCTCTCCCCTCCCATACCTAGTCTTTCAGCAATTTCAGACAAGTTTCAAAAGTAACACCAGGTCTTGTAGGTATAAGTATTTTTTTTTAAAAAAAGGTAGCTTCGGGCCCTCCCTGGTGGCGCAGCGGGTTAAAGCACTGCACTAAGAAGCTGAAGCCACTTCCGCATGAGTTCGATCCCCGCCTGCCCCGGAGGAGATCCACATGGCGTGGCAGACCTCTCCTGACCCGCCCGCTGCTCCCCTCAGCAGTGTACTGCATTGATCTGCCTGTCCTGCTCCCCACTCTGTCTCTGGTGAATCCTCTCACCCTCCAAATCTCTGGCCTGTACCCCAGATCTGTGTAAATGAATAAATAAATCTTAAAAAAAAAAAGGTAGCTTCACAGCAGAGGCAGCCAAAGACAGAAATGGGCCAATTTCTGATCAGAAAAGACACTTTATTGTGTTTAAGGGTGTCCCTGGTTTCCCCCGGAGCAGGGCGGGGCTCCATGGCTCTGCCTGTGGTAGTCGGAGGCTATGTCCCCCAGCAAGGAGAGGAACTCAGAGAAGTCGATCTGGCCGTCGTTGTTCTGGTCCTTCTTCTCGAAGACATTGGCCAGATAGTTTGTGCCCTTTTTGTCCTGTGGAGAGACGCAAACAGGAGCCACTGAGTCCCTTGGGGTGTAGTGGGCGTGGATGGAGGCGGCGGCCCCAGCAGCCCGCACTGCACACAGAGCACAGTGGCGGTGACCGGGCGGGAGGGCACCGGTCACCACAGGCCCCTCCTTGGTGACGTGGTCGTACGGGCGCCTCGCTGATGTGTTCTGCCAGAGCTGTCCTGCTGGACGTGCCCGGGATGGCCCGGCCCAGCCTGCCCTTCCCCGTACCCCACCGTCTGCCAGTTGTGCCAAGGCTCAATCTGGCCTGCCTCCGGCCATCTCCCCTGCCCTCACCTGTGTTCTCTCGCCCTGCCAAGTCCCACGGGCCCTCTCTTGCCCCCTGTTGCTCCTGGTGTCTGTGTCACAGCCCCCTGGGGCCCCTCAGCTGACCAGATCAGGATAGTCGGTGGCCAGATGAAATCAGGCAGCGGGTGAATGTGGACAAGGACATGAACAGTGGAGTGTTTACCTCCCCCCTTACTGCCTGGTAATCACCCAGGATAGGGATCATCCGGGGCCCTTGTACAGAAGAAAACTGGGACATCAGAGTGAAGTGATCGTCCAGGTCACCCAGCCGCTGTGTCCTCAGCCAGAGCAGGACCCCAGGCACAGTGAGAGGCAGACCCCGACTCACACAGGCGGCCAGGAGGCTGGGGAAATTCTCCTTGAGCAGCTTGATCAGGCCTGGCTTGTCGATCGTGTCCTTCTGTCCACTGTGTTTGTGAAACAGGTCG